ACATGCTACAAAAAGATGCAAAGGTAAATAAGAGGCTTTTACTGTAAGTGAGATAGGACACTGGAGGTTCTGGTCAGAAGGTTAATCTGTTGTAACAGTCCCATCCTAATATGCTTTCTTATATGAGTGTTTTAACATAACTTCTTGGGTTAACACCTAAATGAAGATTCATTTAATTTTAGGTGTGTCGTTTTTTTTAGTTTAAACAATTAAGGTAGCTGTATTCTTAAATTAAAAATGTCCTTCTCACTTTCTTTTACCTGCATTCTTTTCCCCCTGAATCTCATAAATGAGCTGAGATGCAAAGAGTTTCATGGACCCATGTCATTCCATGAAGAAAGTTGTCTTCCGTAAGAATAGCTCCTAATGAACATGTTCCTTTGCATACATCTGTCTCACAAATCCTCACAATACAGCAAGCTAGTTCTTCTGGCTTCCATCTTTAAAATAAGGAAGCCAAAGATCAGAGAAGGTAAACCATTTGTCTGAGGTCACTTAGCTAGTGAATGATGGAGCCAGAACTGAATCTAGGCCTTGTGGTATTACAGCAGCTAAGACCATCTCAGAAAGGCATTCCATTGACTAGCATGTAGGGTTTGAGGGCTCACTTTTGTGAGCTTGCCACACATCAATATTGTGCCTATTGGAATGTCACAGCCACAAAATAATACACTTTCCTCTATCTTGTCAACTGCCATCTCTGGCCCTCACATGCTGTCAAAAGTGCCCCTTCAATCTGGGCTTAAAATAACTTGGTGTCTTTGTCCTTTTCAGACTGCTGCCAGCCCTTCAGTCTCATCAGCAGACATGCCAGGTGATTTCCTCTAAGCTCATAGAGACTAACCTGGTGTGGAATGGTGGGAGCCTTAGAGATTCTTTTTGTTCCCATGCCAGAGCTTCTTAGAATTTTTTGTTTTGTTTTGTGTATGCATGTTCTGATATTGTATGTCACTGTCTGGCTGACGAATCTATCCTGAAGACCCAGACTGGCGATCCCTCTAGCAATGCTGAGTAGACATATCCTTTCCTATCTCTGTGAGTCTAGTGATATGAAAAGCAACTGGATACATAGACTGATCCACAGTTTGCATTGCCCCTTGTTCTGCCTCTCTAGGAGCAATAGTATACTTGATTTTAACCAAGTGAATGACCTTGGACAGGTCTCCATTTCTGCAAGGGGGTGGAAGTGAGGTGCTTTGCATACATAAATCTGTGAGTTTTGGACTAATAATTCTTCTTCCATAAATAATAATCTGTAAAATATTATTTGTCCATTGCAGCTTTCAGGGCTTCCATAAAGCATTTTGTCACCAGGACTCCTGCAATCTGTGAGAGAAGTTATAGGCATCAGAACTTTAAATTCAGTGCTCACATTTTGCAAATAAAGAAACTCAACCCCCCAGGAGGTGCAGGGACTTAACTGCAACCCATGCAAATCCAGGACCAGAATATGCCACTCAACCCCAATTGAGAGGCTTTTGTACATACTACTTCCAGCCCCCAGGTCACAAACCATCTCTCCTGATTTTTTTTTTTTGATGGGCTCTAATTTATTCATTATGGTGAAGCCATTCAGCAAAAAAAAAAAAAAAAGTGTGGTCAGTTTTTTTCCTCAGCAAATTCATACCAAGTTGAAGACACTTTCTCTGGCTAAGAATACAATTGATCCGAAAACACCCACAATTTCAGACTTTCAGAGTAAAGTGCCTTGTTCAAAGTCATCAGACAAACGAAGGACAGAGCCAGAACTGGAAGTGAAAGCTTCAGAAACACACTAGAAAATAATGGATGGTTACAGGCTATCCATACAGCTTTTCTGGCTTCCTAGAGTCCAGGTGGACTCCCACACTGTCAAATTGATTGATTGAAGCATCATTGCTAAGATGTTCTCAAATCCCCAGCACATGGATATGCTGCACACTGGTTTCTAGGTCAGAACAGAGAACTTCCTCCTACGAACACCAGCTAAAGATGGTAATGAGACCCTAATGAGTGAGTTTCATGAGCACTAGAATATAAGTAAAGAAAATGGAGGCAGACAGAAGAGAGAGCTTGGATTTGTTTTCCATGGGGTTTTTTGGCTCTCTCTTAAACAAATCTGACCTTAGGTATAAGCATGCCCTTTACAGGTCCCAACTTCCCTGGTTATAAAATACATGTTTGGCAACTGCTCTGAAAGTTATTAAAGTTGCAGCAGTAAACTATGGGAGACCAGAGAATTCCAGACAAAACTTATTGCATCAGTAACTCAGAAACTAATTCCTAAAACTCTTGACACATTTATCCAGAGGGCTAGTGCCAATATAGAACTGGAAATCATTGTCAAGGGCCCCTGTGTACCTGGAATTAAAATCCATCATTCCTCGGAGCAGGGAGAGACAATTCTTGGCAGAATCTGAATAGTCATGCCTTTCACCATCATCTTTCCTCAAAAATAAGTCCCTTTATTTTTCAGAAGAGCAAGGAAATTTCTAATTTTTTTTGTTTGTTTTCATAAGAATCCCTCATCTACATTTCCTTTTCAAAGATTTCTTCCATTGACAGCCCCACATTTAAACCAAGAGGCCTCCTTGTCTTTATTCAATTACACTGGTTTTATTTTTGATAGAAAACCTGCTGGGTATAGTAATAGAGAACAAACTTTACAACAGCAATAATCCCTTCTACAGCCTCTATTGTGGGGAAACAATGCACTTTTATTAAATAGTTGAGGCATTGGCTCCAGTGGTCTGAATTAACTACAGAAGAGTATAGTACGCTAACAAAATTACTCTCTTCACTCACCAGACTCCCAGTGCCTGCCGAGCTACATGGCAGGGACCAGAGACTCAAAACTGCTCTCCTGGAGACCCACAAAAGGACCAGTGATTGCCTCCGGCAACACCTTTGTCAGGGAAAGCTAGCAAAGATGGAAATGGGCCTTCTGACTTATTCTTGGAGGGCTGACAACATGCCTCCGTGTTTTAAATGTCGTGCCCCTTGACTCAGGCCCTGTGTCCCAAGGCAGTAGCTACAGAAGTACACAGGGCTGGCTTCAGCGTGGTGTAAAAAGGAAAAATGAGGAGCAGAGCACAAATCATTAAAAATGCAATCATTGAACTGGTCCTGCCTGTAATCTATATTTATTGTCTCATAATAATAAAACATGCTGAGACATGCCATTGAGTGGCAGGGTGCAGCCACAGAGCACGTGCCATGTGCTCTCATTTACTTAGAATTATAACTGAAAGGCTGTTCACTGAGGTGTTGACAGTGGTTGTCTCTGAATAATGACTTTGAGGTGACTTTTCTTTATCCACTTTCCTGAATTGTTTGACTTTTAACATTTTTCATAATAAGCATCACTTTATACTTGTGGTGGAGGATGCTTTAAAATGTTTTAAAACAGAAAGCTAGTCTTTCCCTGAATTCCTTAGCACTTGCACTGCTCTACCTAAGCCCAATGTAGTGGTCAGGCCACAGGAAACACTTTGATGAGTTCATACGTGTACAGAGTCCCCTGTTATCTGCAGGTGTATGTTCCACATGGATGTCTGAAATCACGGATAGTACTGAACCTTATATACTGTTGTTGTTTTTTCTGTACATCCCCATGATACAGTTTAATTTATAAATTAGGCACAGTAAGAGATCAACAACAATAACATAATAAAAGTAGAATAATTATAACAATATGGTGCAATAACATTTATCTGAATGGCTTTGGGGCTGTTACTAAAGGTGACTTAAGCCAGCACTGCGATACCATGACAGTCGGTCTGACAACCAAGATGGCTGCCAAGTGACAAATGAGAAGGTAGTGTACACAGCATGGATACGCTTCACAAAAGGATGATGCACATCCTGGGTGGACAGAGAAGGCCAGGGCGAGATTTCATCAAGTTACTCAGAACACCACACAATTTAAACTTAACACATTGTTTATTTCTGGAATTTTCCATTTCATATCAGTAACTGTTACTACAGAAAGCAAAACCATGGATAAGGGCAGATTGCTGCATACATATAGCAAAACTCATCAATTTACACATTTTAAGTCATCAAATTATACATTTTTAGTACATGCACTCTATTGTATGTCAATTATACCTCAATAAAATTATCTTTTAAAAGGAAAGAAAATATGAACTAGTCCATATAATTTCAATTCTCCACATAAATTGTCAAAATAGCTATATATTTCTTTAAGAACCTGAGTCATTGTTGGGAAGCAAATTTGATGTTCCAATCAATGACAGAGCCTGTTCCCAGAGGTTAATCGCCTGAGTGAGGTGTGAAAATGTTCATTTAGCAGATTCTCTGTTACCCACCGTGGCAGTGTCCTTGGTTATAGATGGATGCAGAGCTCGCCATTTGACCTGCTTTTGTCTTTTTCTGTTTGCACCTTTTTGCAGAGTCCACGTCAATCTTAGGTACCTCTACCCCAAAATACATGCTTCGGTGCACTTTAATTTTTCTGCAGTAAATAAATAGCTCTTGCAAGCTTCCCTTAAGTAACTATATAGCAAACCTGAGGATCCTGAGACTTTTGGGATCATATAAAATTCTGAAAACCAAGTATTCTTTCCAGAGACAATTATGAATAGACAGATAAATGTTTTAAAGGCTGTTCCTTCACTCTGCTGCCAGTTTTTCTCAAGTATTATATATATACTCTTTTCCTGTAAGACCAGCTACTGAAATATCTCACAGGTCTGTAACTCCTAAAGAGAATATTGGGGGGAGGGGAGGAGAAACAAACAAACAAACAAACAAAAATGCCAATGGCCACAGTGAGTTTGGAAATTGGGTCTCTGAGTTAACTGGACAAGACAGAACAAATGTCCTTGTGCTGTTCTCAGGGCATCTCTCCTGCAAGCCACATAGAGCTCCATCTCTTGTTGGCAATGCCCTTGGAGAGTGTGGGCCCTGACGCCACTGCAGGGCAGGCGCTCTCTGCAGGTTAGGCTTGCTTCTCATCACTGTTTTCTGTGCTTCTCCCTCGCTTTCTATGCCACCAGCTGGACAGTGCTCCAGGGAAGAATTGGGCGCCCAGAGAACCCATTCCGAGTGGCCCTGGAGTACATTTCAAGTGGGAACCGAAGCTTGTCTGCAGTGGACTTCTTTGCCCTGAAGAACTGCAGTGAAGGTAACTGGGTCTGGCTTGCCCCTTCACCCCTCCACAGCTTGTTGTCCTAAGTGTGTCAGTAACCGCCATCATGGTTAGCTGGGAATGCATGCACTTATCTAAAAAAGTCTACAGTGCTTAGGGCTGATTCTGAACATCATCAAGTGCTTCACAGCCCAGATGGTTGGTTTTCAAAGATCTAATGTAACATTATATCTGCCTAACTTAAAACTTCATCGCACAGAATACGGTCTTTATTAGATAACATATTAGCTTCAATTCTCTGGCTGCGGAATGATTTCACTGTCTTAGATTTTTATGGTGGAAAATTTCAAATGTACACAAATGAATAGAATAATGCAACAAACCATCAGAACCCCCCACCCAGTTTCAGTAATTACCCACATTCTGCCAGCTCTTCCAACTCCTCACCCCGCCAACTTGATAATGATTATTATACTTGGTTTTTCCTGAGGCAAAACTTATTACTAAGTATTTTTTAATGATTTGATTTAAGCTATTATTTAGGGACAACATGGGAAATGGTTATTTGTCAAATTTTTCACTTATTTTGTAAAAACCATTGGAGCATGGTCCCCTGTGTCATTGAATTCCTTTGGCTTAAGTCCCACACTATGAATTTATTTCGAGATGGCATCTCTCTCCTGAAGCATAATTGATTGGGTTGGGTTTCTTTCTGTCTTTTTTTTTTACCAGGAAACTCTGAACTAAATCACAGTAATTATATCCGTGTACTTTTTTGATAGGTCTATTTCCTCCTCCCTCTACAGAATTTTTGATTTTGCATTTTTATTTTCAAGATTATATTTTATATGTATCTCTTTATTAGCTATTGCCTCAATTCTGATTGGTAAGCAGAATGAAATGGATCATAAGTAGATACAGAAAGCAAGTTTACAGCTGTTTGCATGGAAAATAATACAGTAATTAATAAATAATAATACACAAGTAAACTCTGTTTTGCATATCACAATTGTAAACCTTCTTTTGCCCTACCCTGTATATGAGGTTGATCTTCCCTTGATCTTTAGAAGGCCTAGCATCATGATTATAAACGTCCTTTGTTGTTTTGCACATGCAGAGGGCATAGAGACAAGTATAGGAGAACCTTTGGAAGGAAGTTGATTTCATTACTGTTATTTTCCTGCTGGGTCTGCTCTGCCCAAAGGTACCCTGGGAGGGAGCTCTCACATGTGCCAAGGAGTTTGTGGTCAACACAAGAAGGATGTGTGGACAGGAAGGAAGCCCGTGGCACTCGCAGATCTAAAGTCTTCATTTAGACTGTTCATGAACAACCATGAAAGCCCTTAACACACGGCCATCTGTTGCATGTAGAGGCCCGGTGTTAAAGCTCATGCCTCTTGGAGCTTGTGTGTGAAAGAGACTCCCTTAGGTGGGGAACTAACCTTCCAGCACCTTGTGCTGCTGTGTCTCTTCACTCATTGCTTGTTTTGCAAGAACTTACAAAGTGTGTGCTTTTTTTTTTCTTCTTTAATCAAAACTGGTTTATGTGTGGGGCACGGCAAAAGCACCATAATATGATAGATTGACATTCAGTTCAAGTTGAAAGTGTGGTTAACCTGTGATGTGAGGCAATGTACAGGAAACCTGCGGTTTGGGAGTAAGCCAGGAGCTTGCACAAATGTTTCCGCACTCACAAACTTGGGGATTTGTGAGTGCCTCTGGACATCATCAATCCTCGCAGATGTCAAGGACCTGTGTACCGTCCAAAAGAGGCCAAAGGGGAGCTAGTTTACAGGAATGTGACAGGCAGAGGGTATCATTTCCCAGAATTGGCCTAACCTTATTTGAGCAACATCAGGAGAAGGGAATAAGAGCCTACAAATCTCCAGGCTCAGCACAGTTACACCTGCAAAAAAAAGTATTTGTACCTTTGATCAAGGATCTCACCCAGTCGTACAAACTTTTTTTTTCTAACTTACTCTACAACTTGCTTTTACCTACAAAACTTTTCCTCTGTAGTTTAGGTTGCATTTGCAGAGAGTTTGTTGTAGGGTTTAAAAGACCTGTTTCTTGTCTGTTTCTCTACTCTTGTGAAACCAAGAGACTTGACCTCTCTTACTTTCTCTAATGATCCATAAAGTGTTTCCTCTGGCTGGACACATTCTTAGCAGAAGGAGAAAAGCAGTCTGCCTCTGATTCTCTAGGGAAGGTGGATTGGTCAAGAGACATAGGAGTATCCTAATGGTCCAGCTCCCTTCCATCAGAGGCTCCAGACCCAAGAACAGATGGGCCCCATGGGGAATCAGATGATCTCTGCACTCCTTCTCTGGCTTGGACTCTTGTGGTCACCAAGGGGTGTGAAGGGGTCAGTGTGAATGTGTAAGACAGAAAGCAGAGAAGAATATAGTAACCCCAGTGTTTCCTGAGCATTTCTAACTCTTTCTCCCAAATCAGAACAAATTCAGGTACACATTCAAGGCCTATTTGATGTAGACAAATGTCTATGTTTTCTGAGGTCATTACTTTGGTTAGATCATGAAGGCCAGGAGAGAAGTTGTATCTTTGAGAAGAGTGAACAGGGCTGGTGAAAGGCTTGCCAGGATTGTAGCTTTAAGATGTCCATTCTACTTTGTCCAAAAGCTGCTCCCCAAATGGCATCCCTGACTTACATTTAATTTACATCAGAGATATTGAATAGTTGCTCCATTTGTAGAAATTTCTTCCTCCAAACTAGTGCTAATGTGCCTTTCTCACAAAGACCATAACATGAGCCCTTTCCACTGCTTATTTGCCATAGACTAGCTATCTTCACATCAGAAGGGACATTGAAGGTCTCCCCCAGAATAGCATATGAATTGTTTTTTAATTTAGACTAGGAATAACATTATGCTAATAGTTTCCCAAAATTAACCTCCATCATAAGGGTCATTGAGAAGATGGCTATGGAGGTGCATTATAGCTTATGCCCTGAGTTTCCTGCCCCTTCTCGGCCTCACCTGGCCTGAAACCTTAAAAAACAGAGCTGTTCCCTCCATGCCGCTCAGTTTCTTGTGGAGAAAATACTACTCACAAAAATAAATTACTCTTCTGACTCCTCCTACAAAGCCTTATAAAAGTTTACACCAAGGGGGCTCTGACAGCCACAGCATTGCCAACCTGAGACTGGCACTGAGATGGCTCTCTGGGCTGGTCACTTCAAGGGACTGGGTCATCTCTGCAGTAGTGGGATCTACTGCTTGGAAGTGAAAGCAAAGAGGAATCACAGCCACAGCCTCATGTCCTCATTTAATTCTCAGTGTGCCCCCCAGGTAGAGGGTGAACCCTGTTTTCAAAATACTTTACGTCTTAACACCCTCTTTCTAAAACTTCCTGCCCGTAGTTTATCTGTGGACTGTACTGTTTGGAAGATAAGCATTAAAATGATGATTTCATCCAGCCACTGAGATCTACTCACATTCCCCCAACTCCTCCCCACGCCATGCCTTTGTCTGGCCACGGCACACGAAGCGTGCTCTCTCCCCTTCCCTTGCCTTCTGTCTTTCCAAGTCCTGCACTTCTTTCATACCTCAGCTCAAATGCCATCTTTTCCAAGCAGTCGCAGCTCACAATTACTTTCATTCATTTCTTTCTTACCAGAGTTACGTATGTGCCTCGCTCAATAGATGCTATGTTCCTGGAATCAAAAATGGCATCTTCTTTTTTAATCTCTGCATTCAAACTACTAAAAACTACCAGTGCTTTTCTCCTGGTCTGCACTGAGAAAAGATATTACTGTTACACAATAGGAGAGAGACTGCAGCTTTGGAATAAAACAAAATGAGGATGGAATCCCAGCTCCATCACTGACCACCCTCTGAAGCTTAGAAGAGTTTTTTAAAGTCTATAAGTTTTTATTTTTTTCATCAGTAGATGAGCTAACAATACATAGTTATAGGTTTGTGAGGGAATTAAAACTGATGTTCTGTGTAGAACCCCTAATACAGAGCTCGACACAATAAATACTTATCACCCTCTCTGTCCTGCGTCCCTGACTGAGCTGAAACCAGGGCTGACTGATCCTGCACAACTACCTGGATGTGCTTGCAGGCTCACTCCCACTTCTCACTTTCTCTCTGGGCTCTGTCTGAGCCGACAGGCCAGGGATAGGTTACTACTTTCCCATCAGAGTCTAACAGCCCAGATCCATGTTCTGAAGCTGCAGAGTTCTCTTTCCTATTCCCTATGATCTATGCTTTTATCTCTAATAAAGTCATTTTTCTTTTGTGGCAGGGTACACAAAATTCATTGTGTAATTAAAAGGAATAGGACCGTTTAATCCTGTGGGGGTGCTTGGAGGCCAGGGAAGAGCCTAGAAAGTCCTTCAACCTGCTTACCACACAGCCCTAACAGCAGGGTCATAGCTGGTGGAACAAGGAGAGGGTTTTGCCAGTCCCTCCTTTTCCTGCTAATGTTACTGCTGGTGGCAGGGAGTCTCTAACTTTGGGAGAGCTTATTCATAATTACTAATAAAGCCAATAAAAAGTGCTTGGGAACAATAATGATTGCTTGAGCAACTGTTTCAAATATCCAACTGCTGGAAATCACCCAGAAATGGGGTGGGGGGTGGGCAGACACCAAGGTTTTTAAATATAAATAAATAAGGACCTAGTGTGCTGAGGTCATTGTACTCCCACAAGAAAATTACTTTCAAATTACATCTACATAAAAGAAATAATTGAAAAGATTAATCACAGTGAAATAATTGGTCTATTTTACAAGTAATTTGGAGCAATATTCAGTCATTGACATCAATGTCTAGTGGTAAAATAGTAATGAATTTCATTCTCTAATGTATTTATTTTATTAATGGTGCTAAATGGTGTTGTTACTGCTTATAAATATTTCATAACTTTTAATTCATCAAATGTTCAAATAATTTCTAAAAGCATTTATTAGCTTTAAGTAACTCAGTATTCAATACGCGATTGACACACTGCGGGGTAATTTTAAAAATTATTGTTTTGGGTAATGGGAGTCTCTTTGAATGTGGAAGATTA